GTTGTTTGCAAAGTAATTTATTTCTGCTAATGTATGTTTCGTCCAATGGTAATTTATTTATGTTCATGGACTTTAATGTGTTTTTTCCTAGTAGATTAGGGATGACATGTGTTCTATCTTATGATAGTGTTTTTATTGTTATTTTTCCAAATCATGGACAATGTTTTGTTGAGCACGGAGTATGTGATAAGCTTGTAAGTGCCTCGTTTTTTAGATTAAAAAGGGATTTAGAATTATTGTTTCTTTTAATTCTTGTGATCTTAATAAGCTTTGTTCACGAACTTGAAATGTATTTAATTGGCTAGAGGGGTAGCAATTATTTTTCTTGTTGATGGTCTAGATGAGACCGGGTTGATTTCCGTGCTTATTAGCAGAAAAAAAAAAGACTTGACTTGACAAAGCTAGAATGGCCGTGCAAGTTTGAAGTGTAAGTGCCCCACATGAGGTAAGGATGAGAATTAACTCTCTACATGTCTTTAAACACTATTAATATTCTGTGAATATTAGTATTGTGGGGGTTGCAGATATGTATCAGTTGTTTATTTGTTTAGTAAGTATTTCACCCAAGAATTTGGTTTATACTCCCTAATTTGTTACCTGATTCATGATTATTTTCATGTGGTATCTGTGATGTGGGGGTTTCCAATAATAAAGAATTGACTTCTAGATATGTTTCACATAAAGCATGAGGGCTTGTGGGAATGTGGGTGATATGTATGTTGAATATCTGCTACGTTTATCATGTACGAGCTTGATATGTTAAATCCTTGAATTGTCTCAAGTATATGTTTTCCTATGACATGCCATGTTAGTTTTGCTCGTTCATAGGATTTGTTCTTGCTTACTAAGTTTTATCCTGCCAGTAAAGTTGATGAGTTCATCATCTAAGGTGTATTGGATTAAAACTTAAACTAGTTGTGCATCATCTTGGTTTTTACTTTCTTGATCGAAAGTTGTATGTAGATGTTTGTTGTGTGGTTTATATATTCATGTAGTGGTGAATGGAAAATTCCTGAACCATATGGATAAACCTGATTGACTAGTTGTGGGAAGAAGCATGTTAACGCGAGTTGTGCACTCTCTTTGAGTCTGATATGTTTGAGAAGAGTGTATCTTGCCTTGCTATTAGAAATCCATCTGTTGTAAGTATCTTTCAAGGTGAGTTGAAAGGTGGTTGATGGAAATGGGCTAAAGGTAAGATACTATGTGGTTAGAATTTATTCAGTAAGTTTGGTGCTGATCAACTCTTATGACTCACCTGGTTTGTTCTAAGCTTATCTGATTTGCAGTAAGGTTGCTTAAGCTTTCTAGCATGATTGATTGTAAATCAAGGGTGTGTATTTTAAAACGCATGCACAGGTGACAACTTAGAAGATGAGATATTTTTTTTCTCATGATGTTATATCCTTTGTGATATGTATGGTGAATGGGGGTTAGATTTGAATACTCTAACCTGTTATGTTAAGTTTTTCTTGGCATGTGAGTTGAACTTCTTGATGCATGTGTGATGTTACTATGGTTCGCATTGATAGAGTTCATTTGCTCGAATGATCATAAGTTGTTAACTTCACATGCATGTTGTTAATTGAGATAAAGATGTATATGTGTCTCTAAGCCAAGAGACAAGTACAAGATAATGTGATAAGCAGAATGGTTCTAGGCAGTATGCCGATGAACTAATAAAGGTACGCATCAATCTCATTATTGTGATGTAGAGAAAGTGGTTTGGTAAATTATATTTATCATGTCTAAGCCAGAGTTATTTTCATGATTTGGCCTTGATGTTTGATTCAAATGTGCTAATGTTTTGCAATCTAGATGATGAACAAACTATTCTTGACGTGTAGTGGTTTTGTTGTAAACTATATTGTTCATTCTGTTTGTCAAGAGAGAATTACTCAATTATTGTTTGAGTTTCAGTTAGTACAGGATGAAGGTTAAAGTGAGAAAGTTTCTCAAGTACCTACCTAGTAAATTCTAAGAGACGGTGATTGAATGAACAACGATGATTAGTTGAACCTCATCTTCAGTGTATGGTTTTTACATGATGAAGGGTGATGCTCTATTTCGAGTGCGCTGCAAAACAAATTGTTGTACACTATCCATTATGAAGAAAAGGTTCATTAGATTGGATGACGTGGTCAAGAAGATGATTGTTGCAAAAATTAATCTCTGTAAGTTTGTCCATTGTGGGGGTAAGTTGATCCTCATGTTCTCTACATTATTTTTCAAAGTGTCTATGTATGTTGTCAGGAACTATAGATGTAGTGACAAAGTTAGACAGATCTTGTGGAGATGATAGTCATGTTAGAGTATGTGAAAGCCAAGAAAAATCAAGCAGATCCTTATACTAGGATGTAGCACAGGTAAGTGCTTGATTGTCTAAGAGAATATATTTAAGATCCTGTGGGGTATTTTAAATTATTCTAGTGACGAAGTTTAAAAATTGAGTCTACGTCCTGAAGTGATCTGGCTTGATAACCCTCTAATTTATATGGTTATGAGATGCTTTGGTAGACTTGTTGCTTGATGTTTGCAGATTGAGTTTTAAGTGCTCTTAATATGTCCATAACCCAGATTGGGTGGTCAATTGATACAACTTACATGGACACACCGAAGTATTTTAATTTATTGAACTTTTGTTCTGAATGGGTCTAGAGCCTTGTTTTGGTTGACTCATTGTTGGATTTACACCATTTATGTTTATTGAATCTATAACCTTTTTCAGTGGTTTGTTGATCAGGTGGATTCAGTAAGGTTGAGCGTGGCTCTTAATGTCATTTGTCCAGTTATTCTTTGAGAAGGGATTGATGTTCTTAAGTGGATTTAAGACCATTAGCCCAGTGGCTCCTAGAGTAGGATTGATAATGACACCGAAGGTGGAAGGTTGAGCATTGCTTGCTCTTAATACTACTAGCCTAGTTGCTTGAGAGTAGGGAATGATATTGATCCTTCAATGAATTAGAATCACTAGCCCAGTTACTACTCGAGTAGGGAACGATAGTGGTACCGAATGACTTAGGTTGGGAGTATCCCTTAATGCATCTAGCCTAAAGAGCTCATTGAGCAGTGGATTGATAGATGCACCGTTGAGTTGGTAGGGTTGAACTTTTCGTTCTTAATGTTCTTATTCCATTGCACAGAAAATCTTGGGTTTGTAAGGTGCTTGAATGTGTTTTAAGCCTGCAAGGAAAGACCCTAAATGTGCTGGGAATGTGTATTTAATACACAGACGGAACACCTACGTGAGTACGAGGGGTGGCCTCCTTCAAGGGAAAAATTGTGGTGTAGTTTTCCTGAAGTACTCATGAGAGCCCAAGGTGTAGGCCAAGATTGGCGGAGTTGCTTAAGCTCTAAAGTCAAGGTATGTGTATTCAAGGTCCCTTCCTCGCTCCTAGGAGTTCAAATCTTAGGATACTCACTAGGGAAGTGTTGAAAACCTTGTGCACTAATGTGTTAGTTCAAACCTTTGGATACTAGCATTTAAGTACTAAGACTTTCATTTACTGTTCAGATTTCATGTTGAAGATCCGCTCGCATTAGTGGGGGATTGTTGGAAATAGGTAATGCAAACGGATGCTCGCGCCCGATCGGGCGGAGATGGCCAAGGAAAATAGGAGAACTCTCGCGCCCGATCGGGCGGCCCTCGCCCGACCAGGCGGCGGACTCGAGTTTTTGACGAGCCCGATCGGGCGGCTTCGCCCGATGGCTCGCCCGGGATGGGGTTTCTAGATCGCCCGACCGGGCGGTGTTCGCCCGATCGGGCGCGACATCAGGTCTGGAGAAACTTAATCTCGCGCCCGATCGGGCGGCAGCTCGCCCGATCGGGCCAGCCTTTTTCCCTAGGTCGGTTTGATTTGCGTGTTTCCTTTTCCGGGACTCATATAAATACGAGCCTTGCCTTTTCATAAGTCTTAATTCACTTTCTAGTCGAAAACAAAAACTTACCTTTTGAGATCTGAACAGTTCTTGAGCAATTCCACTCTTCGGGTTCGGGTGCACGAATTACGGGGAGAGTTGCGTTAAACTTGGGGGGCGTGCGTCATCAGGAAACCTGTACCGGTGGTGGCGTATTTCGCTTCTAAGGCAGTGGATTATTGTTCCACGGCGCGACTGTGAGTTTGAGATCTTCAATCAAGTATTTTCCCTTTCATCTTCTCTATTTTGTTATTGGAATCAACAGGTATTTTACCAACATTAAGCCTGTATATAATTTATTGTATTTAGTGGGTTAACGGGCTAAGTTTAGGCCCTTGGCTTAGGTTGTATATATACCGAATTAACAATCAATACAAACTAAGAATACACATTCTTGACAAAAACAAGTATGACATATACGGAGTATTTTATATGAATTGCAACAAAGAGATATTATTTGTGAAATTTTAATTTTTTATTTAAGTTGCAATAAACAAAATGCAAAATACTTTGAAGTACTGTGGCTAATAAGCTGATTTTATCTCCACTTTAAATCAAAACCAATAGGCCACACAAGTCTTTCCTCTTTTTTCTCAATGCCAACCTTTTTCTTGTGTTTTTTTTTTTTTTTTTTTAATTGTACCCTAACATATCAGTTAAATGGAAATTTCCAAAAGTACTATGAGTATACGTCAACTAATAATGGAAAAATTGCATATAAATTGCATATTACTTCGTCTGTACTAAATTACTATTAAAGTACCATATTTCCCAAACAAAAAAAAAATGAAGATAATTATTTGAATTTAATTTTTAAAACTTACAAAACCTAGTCACACAAGACTACGTATCCTACAAGTAACACAATTCCTAACTTATCTAGACATAGACTATACTTTCCTAAGATAAACAAAATAACCAAGATTATTATTTTCTATGGAAAAAAAAGCTATATATATCAAAATTACCGTGCCTTCTTTTTCACTTTTCAATTCTTCCTCAATTCATCCACTTTACCTCAAAATATTCAAAACCCTCTCAAAACCTTCACGAGTACTCAAATTCTCTTGATCTCTCCTCTCATGGCTTCTTCGAGCGAACGCTACGACATCATCTACCTCGCTAAGCTTGCCGCCCAAGCCGAACGCTATGATGGTATGTTCTCCCGATCCTCATCACTTTCTTTCACGTTTAAACTCACTAATACTTCAATTTTAGTTTGGTTCTTTTCAAAAAGACAACGTTATGTCAATATTACACTACTTACATAATCTTTGACTAATTTTTGTGTTTTGAAAGTCTAAATTAAGAAAATTAATATTATATCGCATGGAATGTTGTTAATACTATATATCTCAATTAAAATTTTATATCAATTTTACGTACTAAAAAATTATTATTGTTGTAGGAAATTTATGATATACATACCACTTAAGTTTGGTTGTACGTTTTCAAGCATGAAACTATATGTTAAAAAATAACTAATGACTTCATATCTTTAATTTTGTAGATATGATCGATGTAATGAAGAAATTGGTGAAATTTAACATCGATTTAACAGTTGAAGAGCGTAACCTCCTTTCAAAAGCGTACAAGAAAGTGACTGAGCCAAAGAGAGAATCATGGAAACTTCTCTCAATAACCGAGGAGGAGGAGGATACAATATACAAAAACGAGACATACATGAAGTGTATTCAAGATTATCGTACTATAGTCGAGTCGGACCTTGCTAACATTTGCTACGACGTTATAACTCTAATTGATGATCACCTCCTTCCTTTCGCGTCTAGCACTGAATCCTCTGTCTTTTACTTAAAGATGTGAGTATATTTTTAAAGTATTTTGCATATTCTTTAACTTAATCAAGTCTTTATTATTTTAGCAATTGATTTATTGTGTATTATTGTTTAACTAACGAAGAGCAATATGATGCAGGAAAGCGGATCATTACCGATATATGGCCGAAATTAAAACCGGTGATGAAAAAACATTAGTCGCTGAAGAATCATTGAAAACATATGAGGTAAATATTTGTGAAACATTTGCTCGATCTTATTGTATTACTCCGTACTCCTTTTTTGGTTTTGCATTTTTTTGGTGTATAAAATTCATGATTTTTTTTTTTTTTTTTTTTGAACGGTAGAATTCATGAATTTTGCAATATTTTTAAGTGCCCTTTTAAATTTATACTCTTCATGCATATTAATTGTTGCCTATATTTTAGAATTATCTTTTTTTTTGGTCTATATACGAGTATAGAATATGATAATAGTATAATACCAATGATTTCACCAAAAAAATAGTATAATACCATTATACCAATGTTGCATTATTTTTGGAATATGAATACATGATTACTAATGTAGCATCTTTGTTAGAATTATGACTAGACTACTCTTATATGTGTGGTTTTCTTATTATGTGATTAGACGAAGTTTTTTTTTTTTTTTTTTTTTTTTTTTAAAAAAAAAGAATGATTAGCCGAAGTTAGAAGTGGTTGACGTCAACTTTGTGGTTAAAATTATTTTGTCTATCAATCGATTATCTTTTTGTTTTACAAGTGATTATTAATTGCAATTGAAATTGATTGTAGGAAGCAATGGCCATAGCAGTAGCTCAACTTTCACCTATTCATCCAGCACGTTTGGGCTTGGCATTAAACTTCGCCGTTTTCTACTATGAGGTTTTAAATTCTTATCAAAGGTACGTACTTGTATTGTACATTTACAATTTCTCTATGACCATATATCTATGTTATAATTGCATTGTTACTTACTTTTACATTAATTTTTATATCTTTAGGGCACACCACTTGGCGAAGGAAGCTTTTGACGAGGCTATGTCCGAGTTGGACGATATAGGCAGCAGGGCTTGTTCGAAAGATATCAAGGTTATTTTGAGTCTTTTGAGGGATAACCTTACACTATGGAAGAGCGAAAATGATGAAAGGAGCCTTTGAAATTCATCAATTTACTTCGTATTTTAGTAGCTTGAGAATAATGAAAGGAACATGTGAAACATACATTCCATTTGTAATACAATAGCTTAGCTTGAGCAAGAAAATTCATAATATAATATCTGAAACATCTCTGATTTTATTATATGTATTTATTTAAATATTAGTGTCATCATCAATTGATCAAAAGTTAAGAATGAATCGATTGTTTTAAAAGCTTAAAAAGTACTATTCTATTTCTATCAGATTAATTTGGAGTTATTGAAGCTCAAATTTAACGAAAGCAATCATTCTGCAACTTTGTTCAAAGTGTAACTCAATTTATGGAACATGCAATGCGTACAACAATGCATGTCATAAACCACATCTCTTACGTTAAAAGTGACTTATGAGTGTAATCATATCTTAAGCCAATTGTTATGACCTGAATATTTCCTACTATCTCCGTTAAATATTTTATATCTTGCAAATAATACCCTAAAATTGCAACTAAAATTTAACGGAGGTAAATTCATTAGTCCGAGAACCATAGTCTATAGTACAGTACTACTTTATGACCTGAATATGTTACATTAGTCTAGGAACCATAGTACTTTATGATTTGAATATTTCCTATATGAGGAAAAACTTTAATCTGAGTTATTTGTCTCTATGTAAATAAAAAATACTCTATCTAGTGTTTAATTAAAGACATTTGATAATTAATCAATAAAACAACTTAATTGTTTGACAAGTGTGGTTTTGTTCCATGTCATATGATTCAGGATTAATAAGTTGTAACAATTTGAGTTTTACGCGTTTTATAAATGAGAGTCCATTTGGTAGTCAATAAATCGTTCAAATTGAGCCAGAGAAATACATACACTTTTATAATTTGTGTTGATTGGTTGGAGTCTTGAAAGTCTGTTAGTTTACAACCATCAATTTTACTAAATTTGGATTTTAACAAAAACAAATAACATCAAAATTCTTTGTGAACCTCCTTGTTTTAAGATAATTAAGACAGCAAAATAACCATTCAAATTAAAGATGCATAAATTTTCCAAAATTAGTAAAAATGACCAGAAACTACATTCTCCACATTAAGCCAGCTTTATCATCTAAAAAAAGCCATCTATTTCTTTTCTTTATAAACAAAAAAATCATCCTCACCTATTTCCTTAAGCTTCGTCCTTGAATTTTACAATTCATCAAATAAAGGAAGATCAATTTTGTCCATAATAAGTGTACACGAAATGGCGAAGTGTCAAGCTGTTTTTCTTTTGGTTGGCGCTCTCTGCGTCCTGTCCTTGGCCGGTGTCGCCAATGCCGCCGAGAACCATTTCAAAGTCCAGGGCATGGTGTACTGTGACACTTGCCGTATCCAATTTATGACCCGCATTAGTACAATAATGGAAGGTACGTACATAAACTTTGATTAATCAATATATGATCGCAAATTTTAGTATGAGACAGCCTAATGTCTCAACAAAATAAATGTCACGTAACAATTACTGTTTGTTACGTGATCCAATGGAAACAAACATACACATGCATTGTTTAAAATTATGTTATGTCAACTTTTAATAAGGATTTTGATTATAAAAGAGTATATCTCGACTATAGTATATAATTATATCCTAATAATATAAATATATGATGCCTAAATTTTGAAAACTTGGTAAAAACAGGGGCAACTGTGAAATTGGAATGCAGAAACATTACTGCAGGAACTCAGACCTTCAAAGCTGAAGCTGTAACTGATAAGGTAGGACAGTATAGCATCCCTGTTAATGGTGATTTCGAAGACGATATATGTGAAATCGAGTTGGTTAAGAGCCCGAACAGCGAATGCTCTGAGGTTTCACATGATGTTTATGCCAAGCAATCTGCTAAGGTTAGCCTAACATCCAACAATGGTGAAGCTTCAGACATTCGCAGCGCCAATGCTCTCGGATTCATGAGGAAGGAGCCCCTTAAAGAGTGCCCTGAGGTTCTCAAGGAGTTGGATCTTTATGATGTTAAAGCTAATTAAGTAATTATACAAAATGTTCAAATTTTTTTACCAGTTTTAATGTATTACCAGAATAAGCATATGACATTTATTTTTCCAAAAAAGAGGGGTGCAAGATCAAAAAAAAAAAAATAGTTATATAGAGGTGTAATTTATTCATCAATTTTTAAAAATTTAAATGTAGCCTTGTATTGGGAGTTTATTGATTTTTCTTGCACTCTTTGTGAGTTTGGTGTTGAGGTTTTAACATGTAATGTCATTTTGCTCATTTTGGATTGATGTGGATGTAAGCTTTGTACTTTCTTTCTACATTTTTTCTTCAATTCCTTTTTAAAAAAAAAAAAAAATTGTTTTACACATTTAAAGAAATTTTACAAAAATATTGTGTCATGCAAATATTATATATACCTTAATAAAAAAATATTACTACATATAAATGCTCAGTTTTAATGTGTTTAAACTTATTATTTACTCTGTATTGTTTATTTTATGTACTGGTATTTATATACTTGCTTGTTGAAAATCAAATAAAGTTCATTTTCTTTTTCCACATAGTTCGTCAGTCAAACCATAGTTCATTTTATTCTCAAAGTAATAGAGATATCTTTTTCTAGTTAGACTTCTATATATTAATGTAATGAAAGAATCATTTCTTCCTATTTCTTTGTCTTGTTATTTAAAAAGAAAATAAGAGCCCAAAAAGCTCCTCTTTACCAATTTAGGGGGTGTGGGTGAATTGAAGGGAGTTTACATACAAGATACAAATGAGACAAAAGTGCTTCATGATTAAATCTCAAAGACATTATTTTCATTTGGTAGATCCAAGTCCATGGCCTATATATATAGTTTGGGCTCACTCGAAGCTTTGACAATGACTATAGGGGGTGTGATGTACGTGAATGCACCCTTTTCAAGGAGCCGGGGTGCAACACTTAAAAAATGGGAATATCTTCTACAAGTAGTAACTATAATTGTATGCAAAATAAAGAGAAAAAAATGCTTAAAAATGGGGATACTTCTTTGAGATTTAATGGCATAGGCCATATTGGTAAACAACTTGCTGGGGGTAAATTAGTTTATTTTGATCAACTTTAACTGATTGACTAGTCACGTACATAAGTTAATAGTAGTGTTTGGTTATAAGCATATTAGAAGAGCTTATTTGCCTTAATAATCTCTTTTACAAAACACTAGTATAAACCGCGTTTGCAAAGAGCTTATTTAATTGGGTGAATTTAAATGACGAGTTTTCCCTTTAATTCATCACCAAACCCTACACATACACCAAACAATCAATTTCTCACCGCCACTCCACATACTCCATTGTAGATCTAAATTCTGAAAGTTAGCCCTTTTTTTTATAGTTTATATAATTACTAGGTTAGAACTCGTGCAATGCATGGTTTATATAAAGCCTATTATGCATGAATATAAATAAGAATTACGTATATTTTGTAATTTTAATATTTCTTATTTTAATCAAAATTATGCTATTGTATCTATTCAACGTTGTCTAATTCATAGTTCAATGTAAGAGGTCATTTATTAGTGTACTGTTTAAAATTGTTTGAACTTCCTATGGTAAATTGATAGGTTATAGTTGTAATGTAGAAGTTTCCAATATTTAAATTTCAAAAATGTTATATATATAGCCCTAAAATTAAAAAAAAATTAAAAAAAAAATGACATCATCATTGCATTTAGGCGGGAATTTTTTTATTGAGAAAGCGACACGTGGAAATAGTGACGTTAGCAACTTCTGTTTTCGTAATAGTTAATATAGATTGGTCATGCGTTTTCTTTTTTAATATTTGTTTAAATCCAATTTATCTTCTCCAAATTCTTTCTATCTTAGCCAAAAATTTTGAAATCCTTGTTACCCAAACCAAATAAACTTGATTTAAAAAAAAAAAAAATTCATGTGTTTTTTTTTTTTTTTTAAATTAATGATTCGTTTGGCATTGATGTGATTTTCTTTTTTTGGTTTTTTATTGTATAAAAGTATATGATACATGTCACATAATAAATAAAAAATTATTTAAACTTATGAAAATCATAATAATTTTGAAAACCGACAACAAAAAAGTGGAAACACTTTTTTCTTATTTCTTGTTTTTGGTTTTTAGTTTTCAAATAAACAGGATATTGAAAACCAAAAATAATGTCAAATTAAACAACCCTAAATTATCTGTTTTTTTAGTAGTTAAATATGTCAACATTCTTATTGGTCATTTTGCATACTCAATCAATTTTCATAAATCAATTATTTATCAAACACTTTTATACAATAAGCTAATACAATAATTTAGTCAAATTAGTGAATAAAATCAGTTAGTCAAAATCAGCTAATTCAATCAGCTTGAGCTTTCATCTTTAATTTCCACCCAGCATGTGGCCATTAAAAATCACAGAATCTTATACTACAATATATATATATATATATATATATATATATATATATATATATATATATATCTTTTTTTTGAAGTTTCTTTATCAGTTAAAAGCATCCTTTACTATAGTACATTAATGATCAGATTCTTCTGCAAACTACTTTTATTACAGTGCTTTAAATTAGTTTAAATGTGCTTCTAATTTCTATCCATATCCATCAAAAAATGACATGATTCTTATTCTTTTTAACAACATAGTCTAAATTTTTTCTAATCTATTATTCCCTTCTAGATTCCAATATAAATTTAATCCTTATATTCTTTTTTGGTTAAGCGTTATATATTCCTTAGAAGTGGTTAATTTAATTGATACCAAATTTGAGGTCACAAAGTGATAGTATTGTGGAAGACAAGTGTCTTTGGAATAAGTTACAAGAAAGAAAAAGTTCTTAAATGTTGGCTTTTGCATCGAGGTTCTTAGCTTCAAAGAAAGCATAAAAGAAAAGATTAAGTTGCTTTATTTTAATTTTTTTGTATGTGGAAATTTACCCATAAAAGGAACTATGTGCTACTATAAGACTAAAGTCAAGAATATATAGAGTATAATAAACTTTGAAATGGGGGATCTTGAGATTCCTTGATCTAATGATCTTCTAAATGAATATATGCTAGAGTTGCTCGGGTTCAACTTTTATGATACCCTCAAACCGAAAGCAAATTTAACATACATTTCGAATAATATATATGAAAGTTAACAATTAGCTCTAATACGTAGTATACATGCAGTATTTGTAGCCTAGTCGATTTATTGGGTTTTCAACTTTTCATATTGTCAATCCGAGTTATCAGTTGGATTCGGGTTAGATTTAGTTGATTTAGATATTTGAAAAATTAAATCATGTTAAATTATTATTCTCATACAAATTAAGTTTTGAGGGCCTGTTCACATTTACATAATTTCAGTTCAGTTCAGCTCAAATCAGTTCAGTTTAGCTCCTTTCCCTCTCTCATAAAATATTCATTTTAGTTCAATTCAGCTTCAATCAACTCAATTTAGTTCAGTTCAATTAAGTTCAGCTCAGTCAGTAAATATGAACATACCCTAAATTAAATAACTTTAAATCAACTCATGTTGTTTGCACTTGATATATATATATAAATACTCCATTAAAAGCACGTAGATTATTCTCATACAAGTTAAATTTTGATTCGAATGACTTTGACTCTATCTCCAAATCAAAGACCCTAAACATCGGAAACTTTAAGAGATGGGGGGACAAATTTCCAACTCTTGACAAAATAATGCCATTTTGAGTCATACCCATGCTTGTCAATCCCAATGCAATAAAAAAGGGATTGTCGTTTTTCATCAAGTACTAATCACTAATGACTCAGAACTTTTACTTTATGACTACCAAAGCAACAAAGAAAATATAAAGACCAATCAAGTCACAAAAAATATTGTAGTTTTTCCGATTGCTTTTTTATTTTTTTCTCCCTTTATAAAAGGTTTCTTTCTACTTTATTTTTTCTCCTTGTATGAAATACTCCCCCCCCCCCCAAAAAAAAAAAAAAAAAAAAAAAAAAAAAAACTTTCTCAATCTCTAAATAATCCTTTAATTTTTCCATAATATTTTATTTTTAAAGTAAATGTCTTCATTTCTCATTTTGTTGGAATATGTTTATTATTAATTTACTTTTATTTTATTAAATGTAACCCTTTAACCCTATCATAGAATTCATACTTTTCTACTTGTACTTCTTAATTGTTCATCAAATAAAATTATGCGCCTAAGAAATAAGTCTGCTATAATTTAAAGATGAAGAGAGTTTTATTATTCAATTTTTCATCATTAAGGGCTCGTTTTAATAGACTGAAATCAGCTGAACTGAAATGAAATGAATATTTTATAAGAGAAGAAAATTAGGAGCTGAGCTGAACTAAACTGAACTGAGCTGAACTGAACTGAAATGAAAATAAGCGTATTAAAACAGGCCCTAAATAGCTAGGTATTAGTATTACAGCTTGACTTTAATTTAATACTAGCTTGCTAACACTTAATCTTGACCATAATTATATTTAATTAGTTACCAATCAGTATAAATCATAAACATTAATACTCGTATTATGAAAGACGAATCTAACATCATCTTAAAACTTACCTTTGCATCTAGAAAAAAATTATGGTTAAGATTAGTGTCTAATTAAATAATGTACTAAATTGAATTATAATAATTAAAGGTTAATGCTATATGCAGCCCTTAGGGCTGCATATAAGCATTTAAATCCTTTCATTTTAGTGTTAAGTTGTGACTTTCTCGACAATTCACGAGTGAATCGGTGTATTAAATGTTTATTTATTGTCTATTCTTTTCACTTTTAGCTTCTTATATGCAACCTTTATATCTTTTTTTATAATTAAATTGAGGTGGATATGTACATTATCTAATCTTTTAGTGATTAAATAAAAACCGTGACATGAACAAAAAAAAACCATGGCATGAACAAAATGTAGTCATATGCGTATAATCTATTAAAAAGATAAAATGACACACAAGTACTATATACTTCGTATATGTCATTTTGTTGTATATACGTATAATTTGTTAAAAAGATAATATGGTATAAATGTCATTTTTTGTTTATTGTATTATACGAAGTGAGTAATAAATTCCATAGAGTAAATATTTCATTTTGATTTCATTATTGTGAATTTGTGATACATGTTATACATATACGACTTTGTATATGAGTAATAATTTATAGGTAGCACCTTTGCTTTTTCAAATTTTGATATCATGAATTTATGGCCATGAACATTAAAAAGTAGTTCTAATGTACCATCAAACTAAGTTTATTAACGAGTCATTAAGATGTTGATAGTAAATCATACCTAACTTATCTTAAACTAATATATCCAATATTCAGCTAACTTTTAAAAAAATGAATATAATATAATGTATACAAGTCACTTTTAGCTTCAAGTCATGAATAAATTAGAACCACATGTTAAACTTTGGAACCTTAAGTAGCCTTTATCTAATTATCTTGGAAACTATATATAGCACTGTTTATGTTAAGTTATGATTTATGACTTTCACTTTACAAACCTTCAAATATGCATACATATACATATAGATGTGGCAATTCGGATCATTAATTGAGTTTAAATCGGGTTATTTTGAGTTAAATTCTTGTTAAGTTATTGTATCCATGCAAATATGCATACAATTTAATAAAATTCTAGTTTCAATCACTTCTACTGATTTGTTTCTAATCAAATCCGTTTTTAAATTGACACCTGGCCTTTAGTGAATACATACGGAATACTCTATTTCAATAACTTGAATGTGTCATGATTAGTTGATTACTATCTACTTATTTAGGAAATTGAAAACCAATGAGATAATCTCTATTTTTTTTAAAAAAAAAAACAAAAACAAAGATAATCTCTATTTTATTTGGCTAATGTTATATTATTTAGGAATATTTATATTTACAAACAAATAAAGTGACACATCTTTGATTCGAATAAGTTGAAAATCAAATCAGAAATAAGCAAATGTATGTGTATGAATATATAAATGGAGATATGGTAAATTAGTGAATACAGAGTTTCAATAACTACGTATCTTGTTTCTTGAACCATTTGGATATATCTGAGCAGGATTAAAATAAAATATGCTCAATGCAACATGTTGAAATTAATGCAATCTTAGCTAGCTTGTCCACTTATAAATTTGGGACACGTTGATTGCATTGACTTCTTGATGCAACCAATACTGATTTTTTTATCCGTTTGTTTTGAGAGTAATTAATGAGACTATTACTGTTAGAGGTGTCCACCGTGCGAGTCGTGCGAGCTGGGTTAGGGTTAGGTGGGTCGCGGGTTGGGGTTTCATGACACACGGCACGACACACGTAGGGTAGGGTGGGCCGGGTCGTGGGTTGGGTCGGAGAAGTTGGACACACCAGGGTTAGGTTCGTGGGTTAGACGAGTCGTGGGTGGGTCGAGCTGGGTTTGTGGGTTAGACGGATCGTGGGTGGGTCGAGCTGGGTTTGTGGGTTAGACGGGTCATGGGTGGGTCGAGCTAGGTTCGTGGGTTAGACGGGTCAAGGTGGGTTAGTGAGTTAGGGTGGGTCGAAGGGTGGGTTAGTGGGTTAGGGTCGGGTGGGTTTGTGGGTTAGGTGGGTTAGGGTCGGGTGGGTTAGTGGGTTAGGGTCGGGTGGGTTTGTGGGTTAGGTGGGTTAGGGTCGGGTGGGTTTGTGGGTTAGGGTCGGGTGGGTTCGTGGGTTAGGGTCGGGTGGGTTGTGTGGTGTTTTAATTTTTACAAAATTAACAATTTGATGGCTTGCTCTTAATTAAGATGCCTACGTATCCTTATATTATAAAATAAGGAATCAAAGCCAGCGTAGTTCTTATATTGTACTTCTTTTGAAATTTGGGGGGGGGGGCTTGGACCTATCTTTAGAAAACTAAAATTTAATTTTGCAATTAAATTGTAAATGCAGGTTGTAATGCAACTTTATTAAAATGCTCAACGTTTGCATTTTCACCGTAACTAAAAGGGTATTCATTAGCAATAACTAAAGTACTCATTTCATCAATCATTCTATCTTTATTATAAATGAAAGGTGTACCTCCGCCGGGTTGGTTCATGTATCCACCCAATTGTGTTTGGACGCCACCCCCCGAAGGACGGGGGCCATTTTCGAACAAGTCGTGTTTATTTTGCAAATGCCGACTCAAGGTTCCGGTTCCATCTCCCGTTTTCCAATTATATGACTTGACATTTGCACCTAGCGCCTTGCAAACTAGGCATGTACACGTGAACCTCTTTGGTTGACCAGGTTGCCATCCCGGGGGTGTGACCTCAACTCGTTCAAAATGTTTCCACACCCAAGAAAAATGTGCTCGACCTCTACTTTCACCGCCACCACCTTTCATAAATCAAATTATTAAAATTAATTTTTAAATGCTATTCATGAAAATAAGCTTTTAAATTTTAAATATTTTAATTATACTTATTTAAACGCATTTTTCATGGTAATTAACTAATTGTAAATCATAGAAAATTGGAAACTAAACTAACTTTATAATCATTAATAATAGTTTTTTTAAATATTCATAACAATAAAAATTTAATTAGAAATTACCTTGAGATGAAGGTTGAGATGTTGGTTGCGATGGAGGTGGCATAGTTGAACTTGATGATTGGTGGGACTCGTGGGAGAAATGTTGTGGTGGAGACGTTTGAATATTTTGCCTATCTCCTAAACCATAATCTCCATATTCATTGACAAATTGGTTTAAATTTTCCGTATTAATTTCATACGAAAAATTTGCACCACCACTCCTTTGGCTACCACTTCGACCACCACTTTGACTCCTTCCCATTCCTCCTCTTGAGCTCATTTTTTTTTTGTATGATTACTAATTATAATATGGAGAAGAACTTTTTTTTTAGAATCTTAAGAATACTAATAATAATATTAAGGAGATTTTTTTTAACAAAAATATAACTCTATATAACACTTGAGAATTTGAGAACAATAAGAATTTTTAAGTAAGAGAGAAAGAAAGCTTGAATTTGTGTGGAAATTTGAGTGAAATGGAATTGGTATTTATAGGAAAAATAGAATGGATGATCATACACTTAAAAAACTAGCCGTTAGATACAAAAAACTAGCCGTTAGATACAAAAAACTAGCCGTTTTTTTTTTAAAATGGATGTTAGGCCGTGCGGGTCGTGCGAATTGTGCGGGCTGTGCGGGCCGTGCGGGTTGTGCGGGCCGTGCGGGTTGTGCCGGCCGTGCGGGTTGGGTGGGTCATGCGTGCGGGTTGGGTGGGTCATGCGTGCGGGTTAGGTGGGTTGGCTCGTGCGGGTTGGGTGGGTCATTCGTGCGGGTGGGCCGTGCGGGCTGGGTTGTGCCAGGTGGGTCGGGTTAGGTGGGTTCACGGGCTAGGTGTGTCGAATTAAATGAGTCAAAACGGGTTGTGCGATTTGGGTCGAATCAAACGGGTTAAACTGAGCTGGGTTGAAATGGGTTGTGTCGAAAATTTTGGACCCACGACACAACCCGGATTAAATCCGAGCTGTGCCGGGCTGTGCCGGATTGAAACCGGGTCGGACCCACGTGACCCACCAGCCGTGCGAGTTAGGGTGGGCTGGGTCCAACCCGGCCCACTGGCCACCTCTAATTACTGTAATACGGAGTATTACTTTTTAATATGGATCTTGTTAACAAATGTCCTCGGGGCGTTGGATAATCATTTAAAATATTACCTAAAATGGAATTAATTTAGGAAAGCATGACAAAATCATGTGTCGATCGGTGTAATTAATATTAATTTTAATTTAATCTTTCTACTTTTACATACCTTATCCAACGCCCCCGGGGCGTTCGTTAGCTTTTGCCTTTTAATATTGCATCTTACAAAAATAATAAAGGTGCGCGTATCTTTTAAAAAAAAAGTTTCAAATAAATTCCAATGAAGTATACGTATTCCATATAACATAAATATCATATTTATTTAGGTCTAAGAGCATGTTTACATTTACTGAACTGAATTGAGTTGAAATGTATATTTTATGAGAGAAGGAAATTAGAAGCTAAAATGAACTGAACTCATATGAGCTGAACTGAATTGAACTAAAATTAAATTGAAATGAACTAGCCCTAATAAAATTTTAGAGGAAATAAAATTCAAAGTACCCTAAATAAGAAAGTACATATCTTAATTTAATTAGGAGTACATATGATTACCCAAAAAAAGCGTTTGAATAAGGTAATATTTTATTCATTAATATATTTTTATATGTACGATATACTACATCCGCTTCGCATTTCTCGCAACCAAGGAATATTTTATGTCTCATAAATAATATCCCTTTGTTGCAAATAATGTGAAACGGACGTAGTATATAGAGTATACAGTACACTTGTTTTATGAGACATGTTGTTTGACATTTTACTTTACATATAGAGTTGGTGTAAAATGTAAAGTTTCCCGCACGTAATTGCTAGCTAGGACAAAAAAGAGAGTAGAAAAAGAATGAGTCGTTCCAAAAAAATATACTTGAATGATATACTTGAAGTCTTGAAAGATTATATCAAATAAGTAATAGGGCTCTTATCTGGCATATATTCTTTGTAATCCAATAATAACCAGCTGGTGAACTAATCCATATCTTCTAAACAGATCTACTCATAATCTTTTCCAAATTATCTACAAAAGATCGTTTAATTTAGGCATGCCAAAATATATCTTGAGACCGATCGAAACCTAAACTGTAATAAGCTTAATCTCAATTTTAATTGCAATATCTTGACTTTTATACTTATCATTATATAATTTTAATTAATTACACATACTATTTTAAAAATAAACCAATGCTAAAATAAATCTAACATAGCAAGATTTCACATGATTACATTTCTTTTTTATTATAAATGGCCAATTATAATCAAAGTAAATAGAGTTTAACACAAAAGATTACTCCAAATTACCCAAAGGCTAAATTTACCTTTTGTTAAGGAAAAAAAATAACTAATATATATACATACACCAAAATTTCATCATTAACAATAATTTTCTTAGTGCTTTTTTTTTTTTTTTTTTAGTTATTGATCTACAATTAAAAACAAAAGTAGAAAATACCAAAAAAATAAAATAAAAATAATAATCAACAAGTTTGACCAGTAGACTCACTCCTCCTCCTCTTAACCTGAAACTCATCATGTGTGAAAGCGCCACCGGTAGCCATAGCCGCAGCCAGTTGCCAGTCATCCACAACCATTCCATCTAAATCAAATTGCTCGATATTCACTCCATCAAGTAGGCAAGTCTCTCCAAACATGCCGCCGCCTCGGCCAGGTGGTTTGGCTTTTCGTCTACCAGCCCCTATGGGAACATTCCTAAGGGCTCCGCCAGCGGTCCAGTACCGCTGGCAGCCCTTACAAAAATGACGAGGTTGATTGACATTGTAATTGTTGAAATAACAAAATTTTGTTTCCATGCTCTTGCACCTTGGACAAGGGATAATCTTATCTGGCCTCTTGTGAATAAGATTGTTATTGTCGTCGTTGTTGTTATTGTTATTCTGTTCGGGTTCATTTTTGTTTTCTTGTTTTACTTGTAACACGATTGTCTGGCCGAATAATTTGATTTCGGCCATTTTACAGAGAGGAAAGAAATAATAAAAAAGAAAGAGACGGAATTTGTGAAAATGGGGAAGTGGGTATTTTTTGTTGGGTGTTGGGGAAGAGAATGAGTTATTAGGGTGTATATATATATGTAAGAGATTATACAATAAAGTGCAAAAAAAGGGATTGACCACAAAGTGTTTGTAAAAAGTTCCCAAAGAAAAAATTGCACCAAAAAAGGAAGAAAAAAAAAGGGATGCATGTGATAGTGAGAGCCGCCAGATTTTATAAAAAGAAAGGAATGGTGATTTGCAGAAATTATATAATTAATTAAAAAAAATTAAAAAGCATAAAAAGTTTGGCGTAGAAAAAGTTGATGCTGAGCTTTTTGTCCACATCATTACTCCACGGAAGCATCTATATTTTCTCTCTCCTAATATTATTTTATTTATTTGTATTATTAATTTGATTTTTTTGTTGAAAATTAAGGAAAAAAGGTTGGTATTAAAGCCAGGTAGGTCGATCGCTTACAAAGTAACCAAAGTTTGAGGGACAAGGAAATTATATTGTTGGAGGACTATTATTGAATGAAGGCATAAAGTATTCACTAATGTATGTTTTAAGGGAATTTGTTGATTGTTTTTCTTATTGAAAATATAATGGTTTGGCGATTTTGGAGATTGTGTGTCTAATTGAATCTGTATGAATAGTGAAAAGATGTGGCAAATGGATGGAAGGGTGGGCGAACGAAATATTTGAAAGATATTGATTATAGCTAGTGAGTATGATCGGTTTTATGTGTTTATGTTGATTTGGATTACAACAAGGATTTAGATTAGTTTGGATGGAATTAGTTATAGACCTTATAGTCCATTGGATCTAGTTCAAGATGATAATATTGAGTGTGTTGCTTTCATGAATAATTAGTTAAACCTTGGACTAGATTTTTTTTTTTTTTTTTTTTTTTTTTTTGTGAAACCAATCAAGCCGGATAGTATTAGCAATCTTATTTAATAATGTTAAATTGCATTTTTGTTTTCAAGGATCATGTTTGTGCTGTAAATATTGTGTGTGCGAGTCAATCACAAGATTGTACAGTGTTTAGAATATGACTCTTAACATTATTTGCATTAACAGAAAAATAATGTTGATTAAGCTTGATTTTTTTTTTTTCAACTTACATAATTATCACTTCTTGATCTTTAAATTGATTTGTTGTAAACTTAGTTGCCAACTAGATTAATCCCGTGCGATGCACGATTTTAAAATAAGAATTGAATTATAGACTTTTAACACGTATTAAAAGAAAATAACTTCCTCAGGGTTCGTTTGGCATCACTGTGGTTTTTGTTTTTTGGTTTTTTGTTTTTTAAAATCATATGATATGTCATATAATGAATCAAAAATTAGTTAAACTTATTAAAATCATGATAATTTTGAAAACTGACAACAGAAAAGTGGAAACACTTTTTTCTTATTTCCGATTTTTTGTTTTAAAAAAAACTGAAAACTAAAAACAAAAAACAATGCCAAACAAACCCTCATTTTTCCAAACTAATTTTTCTTAGCTTTTTGAAACCTTCCTAACTAATTCTTCTAATTAAATATCAATATACAATTCCCGAAAGTGCATAATTTTCATATTTTAATTAACTTATACTCCGTATTATTAACGATTGTTAACAACTCGTAAATAACTAAATAGCATAATATGTGTTGAAAACCCAAAATTTAAAATTTAAAAATTCAAATGGAATATATTTTCAAAGCTATGATAAATAGGGTAGCTTAAAAGTGAAAAAAGATATATGACATCATCCTTGCATTTTAGAGGGAAAAAATTAAATAAAAAAAAAATTGAATCTTACTTCGGTTCTTCGACCTCTCGATTGAAGATGATAAAAATATAAAAAGTTAATATTAATAAACTTAGCATAATCTTATCCAATTTGAGACTATCTTCGTTCTATGAACCATTATGTAAATTAACTTTACTTATGCTCAAATTCAATTCGACTAAACTCATGTTCAATTCAATTCAATTCGAATAGATTTATCTTTACCTTTGCATTTGTCTACTTGGCAATGATATAAACACTAAACTTCACATGTATTGGAAACTTTGTCATTTAATCTGATCTATTGGCTTACTGTCTCTAAATTATTGTAAAATAAATATGAAAATCAAATAGTTTATTGGTTAAGTGCTAAAAATTGAGATCTAGACACGAAAAAAAAAAAAAGCTTAGATGTCTAAACAACCAAATGCGAAAAAAGAAAACAGTTAATGTATATGCGTATGTTTTGGGTTTTAAGTTTTAACTCATCAACTTGTCCAATTTACCTATTATCTTGCTTAATATAGGCCATCTATTTTATTTCTTCCATCACTAAACAAAACTTTTCTAATTTGTCTTTCATCGGAGATAAGTCTGCCTTACTATTAATTTTTTAATGGAGAGATTAGACCGCCAAATCACCAAAATCTATTGATTACAAACCAAACTAGTTATGTACTCCTAATATTATCATCCAATATAATGAATTGTTGGAAAAAATTCAGCATAGTTGGACTTTAATATATTAAAAGATATTAATATATTGTACTAAATATTACTAGAAATTACATATTATTTTCAAGGTACTAGGGATTGAGAAAAGTCGTTGTAGGATATTTCATGACATACTTAAACCAAATATTTAATTAATATTGTGATTCTTTTCGTTCACTTTTCATTTACCCAATGAGGTTTTTTGGATTTAATTAACATGATGATTAGTAGGTAGCACATGGTTAGACCTTAATCTATGGCTATTGTCACAAGCTTCTTTCTTTATTAGTGTACTAATAATTATCTTTACAAGCTACTTTGTTTATTGTTTTATGCTTTATAATTTCCTCTTTTTCTACTTTCTTTCCTTTTGTGCCAATTAGTGTTTATTCCTTAGATTACTTATCTCACAAGCTCTTGGAATGTAGAAAATCGTACAGATAGAATAGTTATTAGTTAATACAAAACATAAAAAGTACTTCATTTTTGTAATTTACTCAAAGACATCTGAGTTGCATTATTTCTCTCTCTCTTTTTTTTTTTTTTTTTTTTTTTTGGAATTGGTAAGGAGAAGGGCCTTACCGACCGGACTTCTCATAGATCCTTTCAACCCTCTCTATCCCTTGATTATGTCTTTTTATTAATCGAGGTAAAATCCATAGAGTAAGTACATTTAAGATCTTCAAGGCAAGCAATCGCATTGGTCTGTATGTGTAGTTGAGTGAGCAAGACATTAATTATTTTGACTAGAAACGACATCGATCATCCACAAAATCACGAGGGAATAATCCAATACTCACTTATTAATTTGTTAAGACTCATTCACTTGTACGTATTGTAGCAAGAGCATAACCCATGAGTCTTTGAAGCTCGATATGTACTTAATTAGGGTGGGGACGTGGGGTGAATTGATTACGTGATGAGACCAATTGTAAAAATGTAAATTCTTAAATGAAATCTATTGTACTCGGACTTGGGCAGTTATGATACGTGTCTAAGTGTTCAACTCGACTGTTTTTTAAAATTTTGCTATGATTTTGAACTAAAATGAATTGTCTAGTATCCAACTTATGTTCGAGTGTCGAAAGGTCCCGCATGAGTATTTGAGGATCTGATATGAAGAGTCTAAGTAGCATATAGAGAGATCAGCTGTTGAAATTGGTACTATTAAGTAGCAAATTAAAACTTTTTTTTTTTGTAGGAAATTAAAGCATTTATAATTATAAGAATTTAACGAGATTCAACTTCTAATTGATTTTATAATCTATTGCATCCTAATCTCTTTTATTAATCAACTCAAAATAATAAACAAATCTATAAACTCAAGTCCTTCCTTTAATACTTTATGAAGGCCATTCCCCCACAAAATTGGAAAAAATTGATAAACCGTGTGGTTTTGTATTTAGCATAATGGAATGAATTTCCTTCCTTTTATAAATGATAAATTGTACTGTATATGACTATACTAGGTCTATGTCTACGCACGCGTTACGTATGAAATGATTTGGTAAAAAAAAATGAAACAACTAATGAGCTATTCATCAATTTAATTAAAAATTAAGGAATTGAATGTATAAATTTCAACGATACCGTACAATACTACAATTAGATAGTATTGGATTATTGGAATATATAATGAAAATTCATATTTTCAAAGCTCGATCTACATTAGTTATCACATAGATCTAACTCATTTTTGGAAAATTTGGCATGCATATAGGGCTGTACATGCATGGACTAATATAGCTTTGTTTCCGAATGATCAACACAAACTTAATTGGTATAGCACAAGCACAACTCGTTCGAGCATGAGACGCGTTGGCAGGACACGTAGGCCTACCTGCATGTCTTGAACCATGCTCAATTATAACCGATATGAACTCTTTGGCCTATAAAGAAACAGAGGGAAAGGGAGGAGGACTAAATCCATTGTTTGGATAGCAATTTGAGGGGTGAGGGAATGGAGAGAAAAACTATCGTTGTCTACCTTCACATGAGTACTAGGTGTTTACATGGCTACACCAAAGTATCTAGGAATGAAATTTTAATAGTGGTTATTTGAAATATAGCTATCATAATATATTAATGATTATATGTTCTTTATAATTGACATATTTTCTCCAAGTAATAAATTATACTACGTGTTACTTTATTTTTGTTAAAAATAGTATTATCAATAATTTTTTTTTTTATCAAATTTTTAGTTTCATTTATATAATTATTGTTGTTGTTGTTGTTGTTGTTGTTCATTGTACATATGATTTGAACCAAGGACAAAGGGATGGGGGGGCTGGCTGGTGGAGGCCCGGCCTCCCCCGGCCCAGATTTGCTGTCCATATATTATATCTGATGGCCCCCATAATTCAAGACACTTATATAACAATAAATATAACTTGTCATGTTGGTTGGGTAATGTTTTACTCAAGAACAAGGTTCCACTTCAAAGGCAAATAAGAAGGGGGTTTTTATTCAATGAATATCATCAAAACTTAACTAGCGAGTAAAATGGAGGATGATTTTCTTAGAGATGTTTTGGTTGTATAATCATTGAGTACGATTTAACTAATGTTTTTTGGTGACAATAAAATATTAGTAACAATTTAATTTTTTCCATCAATCTATTGTCTAATAAAGTCCGGCCCACATGACTTGAAAATCCTGGCTTCGCCTCTGATTTGAACTGATCCTATTTTTTATCATCAAAATAATATGTGAGTCATATCTCAAACAACCGGTAAAAAAAATCTTTTGTATTTTTTTTTTTTTTTTGAATAGCAAAAATATTTCATTAATTAAAAATCATACAACATCTATAATAGAGATTCGACGTTAACAAATACATAAGATATTGAATCAAATAGAATTTCCCTTCATAAAAACTACGATCGTCGAGTATATCTTGCATAGCGGAGCATCTCCCGCTTATATCGCTGAAAATTACAGCCTTGTTGGAGAGACAATCTAACGATCCTTTGTAGCCGTGAGGATGTTTTCCTTCTGATTCATCTGTTCATATTCGAAAACTTGACAACTTTTTCACCAACGAAATAATTTCACGACAATCCATTAGATCTGCTACCATGGATTCAAAACTAAGAAATTTCTCCCTCAAAAAGAGGAGATAAACCTTGTCTTTCGAAGGAGGTAGAAAAACCCTTGTCTTTCGAAGGAGATCGGAAACCCTTTCTTTCGAGGGAGAAAAGTTCCTCCCAAAAGGAGGAGATAAACCTTGTCTTTCGAAGGAGGTAGAAAAACCCTTGTCTTTCGAAGGAGATCGGAAACCCTTTCTTTCGAGGGAGAAAAGTTCCTCCCAAAAGGAGGAAGCATTATTATAAACCTAAAAAAACAATAAAGAAACAAAGTTTGGGGCTTTCCACCAGTTAAAATCGATGGAAGCCCCTTCAAAATTCAACAATGGAGACTAGGGTTTTGGAGAGAGAAATGAGGAGAGAGAAAGGAGAGGTTATTTACTTTTGTACTTAGGAAGGACTAGTTTATGTTATGTCAATATACTTCCTCCGTTCTTTTTTACTTGACCTGTTTCTTTTATCACGCTTGCCAATGCAAGACTTTAACGATCAATAACTTTAATTCTCTATAAGTAAAAATTTTAAAATTTACATATTATGATAGTACTTATTGAGATGAATTCAAAAATATCAAACATGAATATATTTTTCATTGCATATTATTTACAAAAGACGGTCAAAGAAAGGGTGATGAATAGTGTAAAAGTCAAAGCGGGTCAAGTAAAAAAGAACGGAGGAAATATGTTATTAATTGACAATTTTTACGATTAATGTTTTTTTTTTTTTTTTTTTTTTTTTTTTTTTCCTTATAGGAACACTAGGCTATCCTCTTGAGAAGGAATGCCTAAATAAAGATGCAAAATCCTGACAATAACAGATTCGATGAGGTGAAAAAAAAGGCCCAAAAAAAAGGCCAAAAAAAAAAGAACAAAAGCAAAAGGCATCGACAAGTTTTCTGTGCAATGAATCAAGAATTATCCAATGAATCAATCATATATCGCAAGTTAACACCTTAATTAAGTCATTAGATTTAGCCTTTTTCACTTTATCTTTAAAAACATCTTTATTTGTGTAGTTAATAAACTATCAAAAGTGCGAAAGGAACAACGTATGCCACCAAACCAAATTTTCTCAACGGCCATTATGAAAGATGCACTCATCCTCTATGTTGGATATGCTTTTTCCAAGTAATGCTATTCCTTTTAGCTTCAATTTATCCCTTTTTTTTTGGAATCATAATTTTTGCAAATTTCTAACTTAGATGCCTTAGAATAACTATTAGGTTAATTGTAATTTAATCGCTTAACAAAAATAAGATGGTATTTACTTAAGCTCCATTTACAAATTGCTCCAGTTATCATTCATCTTTGTAATTTGTTATTATACTGTACTTTAAACTCGTGTTTTACATAATTTTAAACAATTGAGGAATTATACAGTACATATTACATAGTACTTACCTTTAATTATTGTAATTAACTTTTTCAAAAGTCATAACAAGCACTTTAAAAAATACTTTTAGCATTCAACAATAGTAATATGACATGGAATTTGGAACCTTGAGTCAATTAAAGGTAGGTTTCAACGTTAAATATTATGGTAAGTAATATTTATAATGTTAAGTAATGGTTTGCTTTAGGGGAGTTTCTTTAACAAACAAATCTTCTTATTTTATGTAAAAGCAATCTCCTTTCCAATAATATTATCTGTTAGTTTGAATTTTATTAATTTTTTTTCCCTTCACACTACGTCACAACATGCAGACGATGCAATCATGCAAACAAGCATTTTTGCGTCTTTATCTTTTTTCTTGGCAAGGAAGAAAGATACGGAGTGCCAATTTACATTTCTTGAGGTTGCTTTAAGAAGAAGTTTATTTCTTTCATGGTGAAATTCTAAAACAAATACTAATTGAGAAACTAATTATATACTCCGTAACAAATAACTACACATATGCACTACAATTTGTTATATAATTCTTTAAATAAAAAAGGACAAATTAACGGAGAAAATATAATTTGTAGGAGGATCAAGGAGTGGAGGGATAGTTAGTCCCTCCATCCCCCCCGGTGATCAGAGTTCGATCCTGTACCCCACCCCTCCCTTGATAGGAGAGGTACTTTCGTATCTTACCTAAAACTTAAAATAAAAAAATGTTTGAAGGAGGTATTCTAGATTTCTAGTCCTTGAGAAACAACTACCTCATCCATTTCTTTAGTCACGTTTGCCAACACACAACTTCAACCATTCATATATTTAATTACCGATAAGCAAAAATAATGAACATATGATATTTTGAAAATATATATCATGACGAATCTAACAAGATCTCACATGACTATATTTTTCATTATGTATAAACCACAAAACACGGTCAAAGAGAAGTGTGTGAATAGTGCTAAATCAAAACGTGTCAACTAAATAAAAAAAGAGGTAGTATTACATTAGAAGTTAGAAAATAACTAGTCCTTTTTTTTTTTTGACAAAGAGTTCTATAAATGAAAAGCATAGTTACAACTTAAACTAAGTAAAGAAAGGAAGATTACACGAAAGAACATAACCAGTAACCACACTAATTTTGCATTTCATGCCAACTGAGATACAATTAAGGATGAGTCGATGTCAGTGGCAGTGGTAGTGTTATCAAGTTTCCACTTTAGGCAGCTAGGCCCCCAACGATCATGCCAGCCACATCGTGTCATACCGGCCACCCCAAGGGTTAGACACACTTACCGTGTCATGCCGAGTCATGTGGCTCACTGGCCACCTTAAGTTTTATCTTAGATATTTACGTTGAGACCAAATTAATCATTCCAGCACACGAGCTAGCAACCAGTCGTGCACGCACACTCGCATAGTGCCATGCCGTTCTTTGCAAAAACACATCCAAGCCATGGCTTACAGATATGGTTGTGCAAGTTGTTACAGTATGCAAGCAGCAAGATAGCACAGGGCAGTGGCAACTGGCACGTAAAGTTGAAGATCCAAACATAGAACTGAACTTTGATGCTTTATTTTCAAGGAAAGCTATCATATAGATATAAGGAAGCAGAAGATGTTTTTACGGTTCTACCATAGGAGCTTACAGATAAAAAAAAAGCCAAGAACCTACTAAGAAAAGGTTTACTTCTGTATACAATAGGAGTGACTACATTAAGAACCTACGTTAGCCCTACTAATTAATTACAGAATAGATACTATTCACAGTTATGATCACAGACGCAGAAATCTGACTAATACTATCAAAGGACCTGCTAAAATCAAGGCTGTTCTAGAACTAACTGCAAAATTGCACCCAACAAATCAGGTATCACTCCAGCTATCATCCTCACCATCATCGCTCCCAACAGCCTGCATGACACAATGTTAAGATAATGAATATGATTCACGATGTTCATTGCATGCGAGTTAAACCAAGGAGTATATGAATTCATGCCTTTGAATTGCAATATCAGACATGGAATTTGCAGTTGCTCATACAAATTGTACATCATTTATAAGCTTTTAGGAGTATAGATTAAGTGAATAGAGTCATAGACAGACTAATTTATGCTTTTATAGTCCAAGTGTGTTGATATATGGTTCTACTTGCTTGATTGAAGGATGTACCTATCCCCACAGTAAGTCATGTTCAAAGGGAACCTCCATCATGTCATCCAGCTACCATCAAAGTTCTTGATTTCACACATGGCTGATGAGGATGTTAATTCTATGTTTGATACACGCCTCTATGGCTCATTATGGATGGGTACGGGAGATTTACATAAGGGGCACAGGAAGGGGAATAATATTATGCACTTCTGTTGCTTTTCCACACCATCTCTAACAGCTTATGTGCAACACCAATATGCATGTAAATGATTTCACTGCAACGTGCATGCATCCAAATCTACATTTCATTAGCATTTCATGCCATATAGGCCACTTTATTCACAACCTACCAGAAATTTTTTTGCTATCAGAATTTAAAATGGATGCTAGCATCACATTCCAGTGCTTAATAGAAGAGAATATAATTACCTGGCGAATTGCATTTGCCTTCTGCAGGATTGCTGTAATCTTGTTACTGGTGGCAGGAGTAGGTGTATACATTGACCGTGTTGGTTCTGCGCGCTTAAGATTGAAGGACTGAACATTCCAACAAATACGAAATGGTCAGTTAATAAAAATAGAAAATGTCATAGTGGGACTTTGCTGCACAAATTCAGTAATAACAAGACTAGGATAAGATGTCATCGCACATACATACTCTTAGTCTATGTTCTCTACCTTTTCACCTGGAATAAGGGTCTGAAGTAAATATGGCTTTGGTATGGTCAGATATAATTACCTAATTAGACATAAATGACCATACTTGTACACCAATATATAAGAAAAAGTATAATTAAGTGGTATTTTATTAGTCTTAAAGCATATTTCCAAGTATTTGGCAATAAGCAAATGATAAAAAGGTCTTTAAATCCAAATTGTCAGGTTTAACTCACTAAGGTGGCGGCCCGATTAGGCTCTGAAAAGGGCGTATTTGGGCAAGCCAAAAACATATTTTTGTGTTAAAAACCCAAACCCATCCCAAAAAATCCGCTTTGGCCCAACAAGCCCACCACTTTTTTGCGGGTTTGGGCATGACATTTGATGTTAAGCCATACCCCGACCCAAATTTTTTACCACCTCTCCCCATATCTTTCTTTCAAGTCTTGTGTATTATATATGTAGCAATTCCAAATTCAAAAAAGCAAGCCCATGATGGTTTCTTTATGATACAAGCACAAGAATGTTTTCATACATACTATCCGTTCTGCTCACAAGGTTTATTTGAAAAAGTGATATCAGAAAATTGGACTTACTTTTGTTCGGATTTGGTGCAGAAAATCCCCTTTGTCATCCAAAACTTTATCTTTTTCGGCATGATATGGTTGTTCTAGTCCAAACTTCTGATCTTCCACCTGTTGGATGCACCAGAAAGATCACCATCACATAAAAAGACAAAATCCAAATAATTTGAAGAAATATGCATTACAGCATAAATTAAGAAACTAGACTGTGTTAAGTGAGCTGAGATATGCCATTATCACCTTCTTAGGTTTTGTAACTGTAGCAGACTCCTGAGTTGTGTTCATTAGCTTAGCTGAGTCAACCTTAGCTGGGTGAGTAATGGCAGAGTTTGAAAGCTTAGGAACAAAAGATTGACCCAGACTAACAGATTCTTGATCTTGGTTGTCTTCTACTTCATCAAACAATAATCTGGAAACCCGCCACTGCATAGGTGGGAGAGGTGGCTCATGTGTTGGCTCCTGTAGATGGGAAGAATCTATTGGAGGATTTAGACACAGTTTCATTTCTTGACAACCAAATGGATTATTGGCATCCAAAATTGGTAAGCCAAATGAAGAATGAGACAGCAAATGCGCATTGCTGACAGATGCAGAGCCAAAATGCATGTTTCCATGCTCTGCTTCTTCGAGCTGTGGTGAGACTGAGGCTGAATCTGCTGAAGAGATTCTGTGCAATCCATTATAAAGTGTGTGGTTATTACTTTCTGTGGAATCGCCAAACTCCCACTGTTCAGAATTTGAGTCAGACAGATGGCTGTGGGAATCATCTGACATGTAGGCATATGATTGGCAAAATGTATCATCATCAGAATCTGAACCAATATCATGCTGCAACTTAGTGGACTCAGGAACCAACTGAAATGTAGGGAAAGCATCTAAAGTGTTTTCATAGTGATCAACCCCCTCTGGATATTTGAGCTTTAGTCTGGACGTATCAAAGCCATCAACAGGTTGGAAAGAGATCTTCATATGCTCAAGAGGTGGTGATGGTGGTGGAGAATTTACAGGAGAGTTTAACTTTCCTTTCAAGTTAGACTCAGATACTGAGTGCAAAGCAGCATCTTGGCATCTATTATCAAATTCAATAACTTTTGAGGGGCTACTACTTTCACGTGTTTCATAGTAACCAAGTGACCCACTCTTGCGCAGACCATTTTTCAGCAAACCACGACTAAGCATGGATAACAGTGACGATCTATCTTCGCTTGCACCAGGAACTTCAGATGATGCATTTTTCACATTACTACCGATTTGAAATTTACTTTCAAGAGGCAAGGCATCACCATTACTCTGATCGTGGATCACTGGATGATTAATTATGCCCTTATCATGGCCTGCAGATGTATCATGTGTCTTCTTCAATCTTTGATGAGACAACTGCTTAGAGGAACTAACATCTTCACCGTAGTTGCCTAATTTACCACCGTGCTCAGATTTATTAATTGCTGAAGACAGTCTTCCTCCAGGATCAGCCTTCTGCATGGCATCAAGAGTACTTTGACCAACTTTCTCACCATTACTAGCAGGAGTAGATTCCACAGCATTAGGCATGAACACAACAGGTTTTGAAGGCGCTAGTCCAAACAAAGTTCCATTTGTCCAGAGAGCGATTGGATCGGAGGTGGATGACCCAGCTGATACTTCCATATGTGGTCCACAAATAATCCGCCTGTCACCACCAGCATCAGAACCAGATTTTGGCATTTCACAGACTGCAGGTTCCACATTTACTGCTGGATCAGTAGCACAAAAATCAAAACTCTGGGAGACATTGCATTGGATATCTGACTTGCTGATTTTCACAGACTGTTCTTCAGACAAGCATGATACAACGTCCATATTCCGGCCTGCTACTGAATCTGGCTTGTCAAGGGATGACCAAGCGCGATCTGGAGACAAAGAAGTGGCTGAAGACACAGAACTAGTTGACCTCTCTAACTTTCCTAAACCTTGGGGAACATTGGAGAAGGTATCTGACTGGTTGATTTGCACTGCCTGTTCATCAGATAAGCACGTTGGAACATTTATCTTCTGGCCAGCTGTTGATTCTGGCTTGTCACAGGCTGATTTGGTGTGGTCAGGAGACAATGTACTGGCTGAAGACACAGAACTAATTGACCTCTCTAAATTTTCTAAACCTTGAGGAAGATCGGAGAGGATAGCTGACTGGTTGTTTTCCACGGAATGTTCTTCAGTTAAGCACGGTGGAACATCCATTTTCTGGCCTGCTGTTGATTCTGGCTTGTCATGTGCTGACCAATTACGATCAGGAGACATTGTATTGGCTGAAGACACAGAGCTAGTTGACCTCTCCAAATTTTCTAAACCTTTAACGTTAGAGAGGGCAGCTGACCCGTTTGTTTGCACGAACTGTTCTTCAGATAAGCATGTTGCAACATACATCTTCTGGTCTGCTGTTGATTCTGGTTTGTCATGGGCTGACCAAGAACGGTCAGGAGACAATGTATTGGCTGAAGACACAGATGTAGTTGACCTCTCTAGATTTTCTAAGCCTTGTGGAATATTGAAGAGGGGAGCTGGTTGGCTGGTTTGCACAGACTGTTCCTCAGATAGGCACGTTGCAACTTCCATTTTCATGCCTAAAGTTGATTCTGGCTTGTCATGGGCTGACCAAGTACGGTCAGGAGACCATGTATTGGCTGAAGACACTGAGCTAGTTGACCTCTCTATATTTTCCAAGCCTCCTCCCTTATGATCATAGTAGTGACTTGTAACTTTTAATGTTTGTCCATTTGTCACATTTTCTCCTAGCTCATCTTTAAAACCTATTGTTAGTACTTCCTTTTTCATTTCGGTCTCAAAATCACTTTCAGACTCTGATTCAATTGTATTGAGTGCATCAACAAAATTTTCTGTTCCACTGTCAATGTCATCAAACTGGTTCCACTCAATCACTTGCACACTGTTTCCACCTTCGGTAAAAGTATCCACTTGACTAAAATTTTCGGCATTTTGTTCCTCCAGTTCCCAGTGGTTCCATTTGATTAGTTTCGTGTTATTTCCATCTTCAGAAAAGTTATCCATCGCACTCGCACTACCATGCTCTGCAGTAATTGTATCCAATTCTGGGTGGGTCCATTCGACAACCTTCATATTGTTTCCACCTTCAGAATAGACATCCCCTTCATCAATGTGTTCTGGTTTGACGGTCTCCAAATCCTGCTCGTTCCATTCAATTACTTTTACATTGTTTCCACCTTCACAAAAGGAATCCACCTGGCTAACGTGTTCAGCATTGATTGTTTCTGATTCCTGCAAATTCCAGTCAATTGCTCTAACATTACTATCACCTTCTGTAAAGGCATCCACTGCACTAACATGTTCAGAATCAATCATTTCCAGTTCCCTCTTAGCAATATCAAAATCAGCCTTAAGAAGATTTTCAGCCTCATCTGTTCCCTGCCTCCTGTACACTCGATCACTTATTGAGTTGCTCTTAATAGCTGATTCTGGAAGTTTTTCGTCGATAGACAAGTCCGCCACAGGAGTGCAAGATTTTAGATGAGGTTCCAAATGATGCTTTGGAAGGTCGATTTTTTTCTTAGAAAAATCACCTTCCCCAACTCTATCATTCATTCCAGTTGGCTCCATAAAGTTCCCAGAGCTAGTTCTTCTCATGTCCCACACATTAGCTTCAAAACTTGGATTACTTCGTTGTTCAGATAACTTGTATACTTGATTGGCACCCTCTCCATTGACAAGCTCAAACTCAAGCTCATGAATGGAAGTGTTATTCGCGAGCACTTGTTGAGTATCCTCATTCTCATAATCAGCTTTCGTAGGCTCAACTGTTTCCAGCAGCTCATCCCAGGTGGCACTAGAAAATCGAGGGACCGTAGTCTCAACAGCATGACTACACGGTTTATCATCACTGTCAATGGCAGGCTGCTCATCAGGGTATGTTGATCGACTAGTATTTACTTTTGCGTGCGTTGCTAAAGAAGAGAATCCCTTATTCTTTGTTTCATCTGGCTGTGTAGATATGGTTGGATGAGAATCACATTCAATAAAATCCATGCCATCCTTTGAGCCACGTGAATCTGATTGATCTCCCAGATCTGATTTGAATGTCATGTCAAAAGTGGAACCTGTATGTGACGGAGAAGATTGCCCATGGCCTGTAGAAGAGAATTGCATCCTGAAACCATGAAGTATGAGTGTTAAGCTCAAAAAATTAAAATAATTTTTAAAAACTGGCCATGTTGCATCCTGAGTCAGTCAATGATTTTTTGCTAACAAAAACAGGTGTAAATTAATGGTTACCTGCTGCTGCCATTCAGAGTTGGTGCAGACTTAGGGAAATTTCCACTCCGTTGCCATGATCTTCTTTTCTGTAGAACATGGATGTTAAACTAGGTTTCTTGATATGTTAGTTAATATAAATGTACTGAAAATAGGATCAATAAGTTCCTAAAGACTAGACTAAAATTGTTTTTACATAAACATTTATGAAAATTCTGAAATTTAGTGGCAAAATATTGTGAAAATCTGGATACACGTAGTTCGTGAATCAGCAAAACCATTTTCACAGAGAGGTAACTATCACTGGATGACTGGAAGATGGTCATTTTTCTGAAATTTCATCAAATCTTAAATATAAAAACGAGTACTTTATACCAACTAATTCTATGTGAATTCATCTTTACATTTTTAAAAAAAAAATTGTACCTTGATTTTCCGAACTTTTCTTTCTCGTTGAGATTTCTCACTGATAGATACTTCAGAACAAGTTGATGCCCTCTTGAAAAAAGCTGGATCTGAGTATCTCTTTAAGCAAGATCCAGGGCCACCAGAGTCAAATCTGAGGACAACAAACTATGCATAAGAAGCACATTGATTAGAATCAGTTACAAGCTGTTTCTTAAGCCAATTTCACCTGTCAAGTAACTGCAGGCGTGGAGGTTCTTTGCTCTCTTCATATGAATCCATGACAAAATGTGGCAAGTCATCACAGACAAATAGATTTCGCTCAGTTCTGATATAAGCATGCCGTTCAGAGCCTGCAAAACTGCAACCCTTGAGACAATTTCCAAAGGATCAAGTTAAACATGAAAACCAATCAAGAAAAGGTGTCTTCTTATTCTTTTAAATATATATTTTTGGGGGAGGAAATAAACCCTTTAAAAAGGTTAAAAGGAACCATTTTCAAGCTGAGGGATGTTATTCATTTTGTATTCTATTCTGGTGCACTAGAATGTAAGTCGAGCTCTCTGCTACCACATCACCCACAGAAAATTAAGGTATAATAAGAAAACTAGCATTGTACAGCAGCTGATACAAGGAAGCCCACGTCATAAAAAGGAAAATAAGCTTAAAAGACAATCCATATTTTGTCCCCCACCTCTTTCTTCTAGCTGAACAAAATAGATTGTCCTCAAATTGATAACTTATCTTTAAGAAAAACATTTGGTGGGAGAAATGTTTTCCCGCATAGAGTAGAGATGAGTTCCCAAGATGCCAAACTACTCACAAATAGCTTAAGAAAGTGGGTTCTAAATCCCTTTTGTTTAACATAAACAGCTGTATTCTAAAATCATAAATTCAGTTTGTAAACATGCAAAAAAAATTATGTTTCTATGAGGGATAGATGGGTATTCTAACTTAACGTAAGAGTTCCCGTTCTTGCCATTTTGATCTTGGGCAACCCATAAAACATGTTGAAGCATACTAAGGCTCATATGGGTAGAAAGTAATTTATCATCTACTTTGATCATGATATAGACACCTTAAACAAGACAAGAACATTCTCAGCTAGAATTCTTGAAGCAAACTCTCCAATACTATCCGTCACACAATTCTAAAGAGACCAGCCAACTCTATCTCCCTAAATGTTGACAATTACTCTATTAAGTCTACTTATTCCACAATAATAACTCTAATTTGTGAAAGTGCCCCCTTTTGTGGTGAGGAAACACCTTGAAAGACAAAGCCTAAAAAGTAGGACCTTCATTGTACTTTCTAGTGAGAGTGTTGAACTTAAGCTAGTTGGACCTAAAAAGTAGGACCTTCATTGTACTTTCTACCCTCTTTTCTAAACTTTCTTTTTTGTCAGCTTCCTAACCTTCCCATATCCAACCATAAGCGAAAAATCAACATACATAAGTTTACAAATTAGTAAACTACTGTCAGACAACTATTCAATATATGCCTTATAGAAATTTTCTATTACTTCAATAGATACATTGATACAATAATCTAGTCATAGTGGTCAGCTTTGCTAAAACAATCCCCCCCCCAAATGATAAAACTGAACTTCTTCCAAGAATGTGCCCTTATGCTTTGACAAAAATATGTGACTTAAAATTATGATCACCCATATCAAACATAATATCAAATCTGCAGAGTAACGGTAAATAGGTTCAGAGATGCAATCACAAACAGATTTTATACTCGAACCAGATCATCCACAATATCTAAAGAACCCAAATGCTGATTGGGGGACAAATCAGATTCACGGGGACTTTTTATTTCTCAGACAGTAAACAACATATATAAGAGAGAAACATACCAGGTGTATAGGCAAATCGCAAGTGGTCTGTTTGTGAAAGTATAGCCTTCTCAAGTGAAGGAAGTGAAGCTTCAATCCGTTGAACACGATTAACCAATTTACGGCTTCTAGATGAGGTGGAGGCAACCTGCTCTTGCAAACCATGAAAAACTTCAGCTGCAAACCTACATATCCACAACAGATGAGGGAGAAAAAGTCAGAATTTCAGCTGCAAAATAGGTGACCATTTAGTAGTATAAAAGGACATACACCACTTTCTTATGGGTGAGCCTGCTAAACAGCACGAATCATTTCAGTACAACCTGCTATACTACTTTCGAAAGCAGTGAATTCGTCTTTTACTTTCTTTCTTCCAGACTTGTATTATAAAGATGAGAAAGGGAATCAAGTCTGAATTGGTAAAGTAATAGGCTGAACCAGTGAAATAGATCGCCAGTAAGAAATTGGGTAGGAGTACACAATTCGCCACAAATAGGCCCAAATGTATCACTTTCATGAATTTGCCTTTTGCCATGTGCGGTTAATAGGGGATTAGTGAATTAGATAACTATGGGCTGAACACAGGATTTCATGCTGGATTGCTGGGTGATAGTGGTCTCTGTAGAGAAAGAATAGCACGGTACACAGATGTAAAACATAAATCATGTTCCCTCACAATAAGAACACAGCTATGTTACTTCGACACCCTGCTGTACGTCAGCTGTTGTGTATCAGATACTCCAACACTTCCACATGACACCACCCAAATATACAGTCTCTTTATGAAAATTTACAAAAACTGGAGTGTGAGGAGGATCCGACACAATTTCGAACACAACATCAAAATCCGATTATGGACTACACAGGAAGTTAGGAACAAAGGGATTTTAGAGGTTGAGTTTATCCAATTTTACATCTAGTCAGAAATTGTGCATGAGAACAATCTCCCTACCATTAACAACAGTCAGGAACAATACGATAGCCAAATATGAAACAGTCATTGGCAAATTTATCATAGCACCACTTCAGGGAAACAGCCCCCTTACCATTTTAAACTTGTTATAGGTAAGATTGCCACTTGGGTGTGTCTTCACCTCCCAAGACCCCATCTAAGCAAAATTATGCTGAGATTCTTTTTATAGTTGTATATTAGTATCTTAGAGATCCATATTTCACCTTGCTCTTGGTCACAAAACCTATATGGTTGAGCACATGTCTAGATTCAGTTTGAAAATGCTTACTGTAAGGATCATCGCAATTTACAACCTACTATTTACTTCAAAGGCTTCTGGGATCAAGTACCTTGTATAAAAGTACTTAGAGAAGACAACCGAGGGACAACTTCCACCCCAATAGCAATTGAATCACACAGATGTGTTTTCCTTTAACATCCAACAGATGTGTTTTATATCTTTTCGATTAATCAAGGTGGAAGATGGCAAGTCCTTGAATCAGCGTTTCCCCGACTTCCACCTTGAGGACAAGGTGAGTCTTTTGGGGCGGGGTATTGTCACGGATCCACATGGTCAAGGTGTCCAGCCAAGTCAACCACCCATAAGGGTCTATACAAGAAGGAGGCAAGTCAACTAAGGGGGGAGAAAAAGCAACAGCAGCAGCAAGCACTCTAAGGAATTATGGAAGCTCCAATTAAGAAGAAGACAAAACTAATTAAAAGGAACAGAAGGAAAGAAAGCAACTTAGTTTCTTTGTGTTGATTTATGTTTTTCTAATTTAGCTAAGTATCACATGTAAGCTTCAAGGTCTTCCATGACCATCTTAGTATAAGTAGAGTAATCTGAGTTTTAGGAAGGTATCCAAAAAATTGAGTGAATGACATTGAGAGAGTGGTGGCCTCAAGCTACTAGTAAGAGTGATAGCCTCAAGTTATCAATTGTAACCTTCCTCTATCTTTAAATTAATCAAGCTTTAAGCCTTCCTTCCCATTAATTATTGCAATACATTGTTATTATCCGGTTACCGGAAGTCAATGCATTACATATTCATGGGGGCTTTGTTGGATGTTAAAGGAAAACACATCTGTATGATTCAATTGTTATTGGGGTGGAAGTTGTCAAGCCTCAACTGTCTTCTCTAACATGGTTAGATCTTCAGTTTTATGTAGAGCATTTGCTTAAAACTGTGGATCGATAACTTATCACCCATCTCTATGTTGATCTTGTTAACGATTGTTTTTCCTTCTCCATCTATGCTTACATTACTCAAAGTCTCATAGACAAGTAATTCTTTTATAGAGCACAAGGCTACTCCACGGTGTATGCCACCAACCCGAAACCCAAAACCAGGGAGAGGGAAGTTTGAGTGAATTCAGTAACTCTGAACATTTAAACTAATTACTATAACAGAGTAAGACTTCTCATGACTCAAGAGAATAAGCATCAGCTGATGCAATTTCCTTTAGCGCCCAACAAAGCCCTACTTTGTCAACAACTAAAGGAAGAATCCCACCCTAGTTCTTTTGTACTTCAACTGATAAAACTCAATGATAAGTCCATAAGATGCTTTATCTTCCCTAAAATATAGAACTTATTTGCTTTCCTAGGCAACTTCTTCTACAAAGAATAAGCTCTCGTAACATATTAAGATTTAGATATTCATGAAATGTTAACATTGATAAGAATGAGAAGGATTTTATATGCATATTTTTTCTATTGAATGTGCACACTTTTTTAAGTAAATGTACAAAAAATGAATAAAATTCTATGTTCATGTTTTTTTTTGTACATATTTGGTTTTACCGAAAATCTAGAAAATAGAACCAGGTCGAAATTTTAAATTTGCACAATTGCACATTCAGTATTATATACTTAATCCTTCTTATTTTAAGAAAATATATACTTAATCTGATCCATATTACTCCACTACACGCAACATACCCTCTTAATGAATTCAAAAGGAAAAGATGGGTTGTTAAAACTAATGAACACTCTTAGTGTATCTAGGAAAGAGATAACAAAGGGGTAAACTCTTCCAATTAGTCAACTTTAGACTCTTGCCTATAGCTGTACTTTCAATTCTTCTATGACATCTTTCTCAGTGTGGTATACTGGTTAACCAATTTAATCTTGTGGTACGACTTGTATCGTGGCCTCTCTGTGAGAGGTGTATTTGCATTCTTCTCAATTGCATAGATTTTTACTCAATATTCACATAATAGATCAATTTCATAGACTTAGCCTATGAAGTTATCGTAAACCTTTTCACCGTAATGGTTATACGAGATGATGAAGTGAATCTTTCAAAAGGAAATCTATGTTAGATGGTTTTGACCACACTCATTTCAAGTTGGGCTCCAAAACCACAAGCATGTCCCCTTTCTCATTCACATGACCTTTCCAAACCCAAGACGCAACTACACTAATAAGCAAAATAATTATTTCTATGACTCTAGGTTAAAGCAACTTAGCAAGAGTATATATCATTTTCTTGTTAATCATAGTTCAGACTAATCTCTAAACTATTATTTCCTATTATCTTCTAACAAGTGTAATCCGAGAAAAAACTAATCAAACTTATAACCCTGATTATTTAATTAGGAAATTGACTCCCATAGGCTATTCCTAATCTAAGTTAAAATTGGCGTAAAAAAAAAAAAAAAAAAAAAATCTAAGTTAAAATTTATAAGGTGTCCAAAACATATCCTGTCAACAAAAGAACCTAATGCACATCAAAATAAAAATCAGTTTGTTTTGAATTTCTGTGCTTTGTGGTAATTCTATAGTATAGAGTTGGTTGAAATTGTGGTTATACAATAATCCAACTTCGTCTTTGTAAGACTACCAGAACCTCAAGAAATCTAAAATTTCTTTTTTGCCCACCTTGTCTCCATACCTTATTCTGAAGTCAAAAGATTTTTCTTTGACATTATCAATCACCAAAACAAAAGAGAAGGGGCTTCGGCAATTCTTGTATCTTTAATTGTTCTAAGATTTACAAAAATTGAATTTTGCTTACAATATTGATCATGGCTCTATTTAGGAAATGGTTCTGGCATTTACAAAAATCGAAATTAGATACTATTTTTATCACGGCTAAATTTAGGAAATGAGGGTAGGCAGTAGAACCCCTACACTTTGAGACTTTTACGCAAAATTGGATAAAAATTTAAAGAGAACTATAGATGACATCATTGCATCTCACGATATGATAGTTGCCTTATTTGCCTCTTAAAGGTGTTCGAGGGAATGAGGGGCAGTGCACTATATGCTATGAATGTTTTAACTTTTGAAGTGGAAAAAAAATCAAAGAAACCTCCAAAAGCTCAAAGCTTCCTAGCAAGTTATTATATCACACTGTGATCCTCTCGCCTTCATATACATTCTTTTTTGCTGTTGTAAGATTTAACATTCATATTAGGACAGCTAATCTGGGATAACCAAGCTTCCCATATTAATTCAGTCATTAACAGGACCACCAAGATCAAGTGATTGTAGATGGGACAACAGATTGTTCACAAATTCAACCACAACTCTAAATTTGTCATCCTCTCCCACCAAACACCACATCCCAATAAGTCAATTTAACAGAGAACTCCTATAACAGATTTAGCCCTCGCATCAAAACAAACTACAGCATGACTATTGACTACCACTTCTGAAACAAACTGTCATTACTAATCACTACAATGATCCAAAATGAAATCAAGCAAACACTTCACCTCTTTGCTTTTCATTAAAGCATATCAGCAATCTCTAACTTCTACTTTGTTTGGAATTATCTCACCCACAGGCGAAGCAAATTTCATGAGCTCTGTTGCATTCAAACTGAAATGTCATTGCTAAAACGGGTGACAGAAAAGTTACTTGTAACTCCCAAAACAGCTGTCAAAACCCCAAAGCTTTAGTTTCCCATACCACAACAATCCTACAAAGGACCACCAAGCTCAAGTAATTGCATGCAAAAGGGACAAATCAATTTCTCATTGACGTCCTAACCTCCAACCATCAATGCTTCAACAAACCATAACTTCAATATGGCCGCAACCACCCAAGACAGTCAGCCACCCTATCCCATCCAGAGCAGAAAATGAAGCTAAAAATTTATCAATACTCGAGTACAAAGTAAAAGTTTTTCAAAGGTAAATCATCATTTGCATTTCAATAAATATACCCAGAATTTACACATGCACACTGACAACAAAAGCGGGTCTTAAGTCTCAACGGCCAAAAATTCTCTCTTCTAGCCAAAACCAAATGAAAATAAATGCTACAATTTTTAGCAAAATCCATTACTTCATATTATAACATGATTAATTTCCATGTATATAGTAGACAAAACAAAATCTACCATAATATTTTTTAAAATAAAAAAATGGAAACTTAAACTCTACAAAATCCACAACACTAAATTAGTGAAGAAAAACAAAAGCATATAAAAGGCAGAAGAAACATACTGTGCAAGATCACCTAATTGGCGAAGAACACCAACAAGGCCAGCAACAGCCACACCATCAAGAACAGCTTTAGGATCTTCAGACTCAACTGCATCTTTGTAAAGCTCTTCAACTCCCAAACCATATTCATTTTTCACTGCAAATCTCACCAACGGCATCTTCTTCTTCAACCCCAGAAGATAACAGCTACGACGCCGAAATGGGGATAACTCCAGATGATTTTAACAAGAATTGATAAAACCCCAGATGAAATTAATGGGGAAAAACAGAAATTAAACTAACCCCAGATGATTTTTATGGGAAAATACAGGAATTCAGTAAACCCCATATGATTTTAATGGGGAAAAATAGAAAGTAAACTAACCCCAGATGATTTTAATGGGAAAATACAGAAATTGAAGTAACCCCAGATGATTTAAATAGGGAAGAATAGAATTTGAAGTAACCCCAGATGAAACTAATAGAGAAGAACAGAAATTAAACTAACCCCAGATGAAATTGATGGGAAAAACAGAAATTGAAGTAACCCCAGATGATTTAAATGAGAAAAACAGAAATTGAAGTAACCCCAGAAAATAATTTGTTAGGGATAAACAGAAATTGAATGAATCAAAAAGATGGTAATGATGGATTACTGTACGAAGTGGGGAAATTGATTAAGATTTAACAAACAATGCAATAAATATGAGAAGAAGAGAGAGAAAGCAGTAGGTAGCAAGAAAGGAGCAGCTGAACTGCAAATTGAAGGATGGATTTGTTGGTTTATAGTATTTGGAAAGAGCAAAATAGCAGAAGCAAAAGTAATACAAATTCTACTCTAAAGCAACAGCTGCTGAGCTGATAATTTTAATGGGGTTGTTGATGTTGTTGTTGTTATTGCCAACTCTACAAGGTACAAGGTATTCCTTCTTAATCAATTTTTGATTTTGGATTTAATTTTGTTTTTACTTTGTGTTTTTTGGAGCCTTATATTTGAGTATTTGCAGCAACTGAATAATGTATATGGTACTATAAATGTGGGGTTATGGTAGAGACAGTGCTGAAAAGTAATGCTCAAGTGAGCTCATCTTTTTTGTGAAATTATGACTTGGAACATTTTGCCTTCTTTCATGGGTCGGGGGAATCTCTTCTGTCTTTCGAAAAGATTTTATGGTTGTAGTATGGATCTATGGCCATACGGGTGTTAGCGAGTCTAGTCTGTTTTTGAGTTTCTTGAGTTACATGTGAGATTTTACAAGTTAGGATTTTTTTTCACATAATAACTTGATTTACGTGTTGATGTCAACTAGTTTAGTTAATTGATATCGTTTTAAAGTGATATTCAAGATCTATTTTCAAATCTCAACTACATAATTGCCATTATTGCTCTTTCTACACACCTACAAATCTTTCACTTGTGTAATTACAAGGCTCTAATATGATTAACAATTTAGCAAAACATATTTATAAGCATACTGTAGAGCTACTTTTTATCCACCAGTATAACAATTATCTATTCATTGTACTAAAATTTGAGCTTGTATGATGCACTATTGTCGTAAATTTAACAATTTAGCAAGGTTTTATGTTGTAAAATTCATAAAACGTATATTACATAAGCAAAGGGATATAAGTATAATGGTTGTTGGCTTGTTGCAAAACAATTCTTTGATCTCTTCAAAGCCTCATTTTTCTTCTTTCTCCTACATCATTTTCTATATATATGAATTTGGAGCATCACAATTCCCTCACCAATAATAACATCTTTCCTTGATGTAAACTTTCTACCCATAATTGTAATAGTCTTTAGATACCTTGAAGGTAATGGTGTGCAAGCATCTCTAAGCTTTTAAAGTTGTTTACTACTCACATAATTCACTTCATCAGCATTACTTATGTATAAAAATATAGTTTTGTTGGATTTTGATAAATTCATTTCAATGTACGCAGTATATTTTTTTTTTAAAACAGTTAACCTTTTTATATTTTTCTAATTGACAATTAAAGATATTAGGGGTCAAAGTCATGCATTGACAAATATGCACAAAGTCATAATAGAGTAACCAAAGGAAAGCAGAGGAATTAATAATCATACATAATTAAGTGATATAATTAATAATCCGGAACAATTGTATAAGGAAAATGCTACAAGTAATTTGGGATATATAGATGGATTAATTTAATAACTTTGACATTTTTTATTCCAATATACAAATTATTGAGGTGTTTATGCAAAATTTAATTGGAGTAGTGTCAAAAATTATATTTTTCACAATTCACTATTCAATTTTGTTGTTATATAGTCTTAAGTTATACTCTTTCATTTCTAATTATCTGCAATAGTTTAATGTTTGAGCTACTCAAATATTCGTTGAATTCAAATTCCAACAAATATACAGAAACATATACATTATTCCCTCCGTCCCTAAATTACATTTCTCCTTTCTATTTTGGATATTCTAAAATTACATTCCACCTTTCTATTTTTAGTAAAAAAAAAAAATTTCTAAATATCCCAAATACACTCTCTTTTTCAGTTGTACTTTTAATGTATAATTAATGTATTTACATTCCACTTTTAATGTTTGGTTGGCTAATGTACTTTTTCAGCCTTTAATATTTCAGAATCCTTGTGCCAAATTACAATGAATATGATTGGTTAAAAATTTTCAATTAGGAGCATGTGATTGGTCCTTTTTTTTGCAAAGGATTGATGACATGTCATAAGTAATCACTAATCTATCTTTGTTTTACTCAAAAACATTATTTAATGTTTTGTATTTCCCATTGCATTATATAATTATTGTTATTTGTCTTATTCTTTCCTCTTAATTCCCGTGTAAATTTTCAAATAGAAATGTAATTTAGGGACGGAGGGAGTATTATGTAAAATGTTTTCGGATTAGTATCAATGCATATATTATTCAAAACATTAACTTTTGATATTTTTAGGTTTTGATGGTCAACCTAGTTATTAGTCCGGACGATGTCTAGTGTCATTATAAATTTATTACTTTAATTAAACTATATATATTTTAACTTGTTTGTCACTGAGAGCTTAAGTGGTGTTTTTTTTTTTAAAGATGATAACTTGTCTTGATGACACGTTATATATATTTTAACTTGTTTATCACTGAGAGCAAAATTGATGACACGTAGCAAAATAACATGTCTTGCCACGAGATTGAACAATATATATATTTATATTATTATTATTATATAAAAATAACAAAAACTTACAAAGTCAATCGATTTACAAGAAATCAGTGGGGAGCCGAGATACAATATGGCCCCCAACTCTAACTATAGCGAACCCGATCCTGTTAAAATAGAAAATTGTTACTCGTACATACAAGAGGGTGTTTGGTATCAACATCGTAAATGAAACGAAAAGGATTCAAATAAGTAGGGAAAGAGTAATGATAAATGTTACTTTTACTATTCGTTTGGCATCTTAGGGCCTGTTCTCTTCCGTTGAAATTCAGTTCAGTTCAGTTCAGCTCAGTTCAGTTCAGTTCAGCTCTTAATTTACGTCTAATGATATTGCTAATGATATAAAGCCAAATTTCATTCTTTTAAGCTCTTATTACAACGACAACAACAACAACTACAACAACAACAACAACAACAATAATAATAATAATAATAATAATATTAACAATAATAATAATAATAATAATAATAATAATAATAATCAATAGGTAATAAATAATAATAATAATAATAATAATCAATAAATAATAATAATAATAATAACAATAATAATTGAAATAATAATACTAATAATAATAATAATCAATAAATAATAATAATAATCATCAATAAATAATAATAATAATAATAATAACAATAATAATAATAATAATCAATAAATAATAATAATAATAATAATAATAATAATAATAATAATCAATAAATAATAATAATAATAATAATAACAATAATAATAATAATAATAATAATCAATAAATAATAATAATAATAATAATAATAATCAATAATTAATAATAATAATAATAATATGTACATTTGTATATACACATATGTATAGTAATAAATAATCAATAAATAATCAAAGATCACTAATCCGTAGTTAAAAATCACTAATTAATAAGTTCAGTTCAGTTCAGTTCAGCTCAGTTCAGTTCAGTTCAGTTCAGCTGAGTTCAGTCAATCGGAACAGGCCCTTAGTGGAATGGAAACAAATTGAGCAGAATGTGATTGAGTAAAGAAACATATTTTATTACCACTAGTTTGTCAAGGGTAACAAATTGAGGGATTTTGTTACCCTCCAAAAAGGGTATTTGTTACTTTTAACCCATACCAAACAATTAGAAATGAAAATACTTAATTGAATTCGTTTTCTACATCTAAAATTACTATACCAGACGCCTCCGAAATATATAACGTACAAGGTAAGTAAATTGTAACGGAATGAGTAATATTTTGGTGGTCCATGCAGCGACCTTGACATCATCGAAGCTTTAATTTGACTGAATTTACTTTACATGAAAGATTGAAAGACTAGTTTGTTACTACTGAGTTGCTATAAACCATGCCATGCCCATATTTATGCATTTACTTTTATATTATATGGTGTAACGGTCCCAACGGATCGCTTGTAAGGTAAAAGACTTGAATATTCTATTGCAACCATGCTATAAGATTCACCAACTCACATGCATTGTTGACGATTAGATCTAACCTTGATTTGTATAAAAATCTTAGTTTAGGTTTATTTAGATTTAATTTGTAATGCTACTTGGCCTACTATATCTTGTTGACTTAATTGAAGCTTACAATACTTAGATAAAATCAATTTGGACCTTCTAGATAAGTTTTTGTCTTATTGCTAGTAGAAAATCCATCACATGTACAATATCACATATTTTGGTTCCTTATATTGTAAGGGAACTTTCATAGTGGTGTCAATTTTTTATTTTTATTCATTTTTATATATATATTTTTTTTTTGACAGTGAGTACATATACGAAATGTAGAAATTATAATCTATAAGAGCTAAACAACACTACATTACAACCAACTACATCAAACCACATACATAAACAATCAAAGGAAAAACTTATGAACTATAGCAGAGGCAAGACGCGTAATCCATCCCTTAAACACGGCTTGCAATGACCACCATTGGAGGACAACTGAAGTGACTGAGAACTCAAACAATGCCTTGCTTGATACCTGTTACATCAGAGCCTAAAACACTAAGGAAAACTTACCATATCCTTACCATGACCCGAGAATTGCAACCTTTAATTTGCCGAGAAACTTGAAATGAACAATGGTTGCGAGTTGAAATTAGGGAAGGGAATTGAAACTTGCAAACCCACAAATGCAAGTTCTTGATAGAAGAAGATGAGAGTTGACACGATTGAAAGATGAAAGCACCTTATTGACGAAATAAACCTTGACAACATTCCACTCCTTGTTTCTCTCTCTACAACTCTTGGTTTTTATACAATTCATTATTTCCGTTAATTTTGGTAACGATTTCTTCCCTTTTAATTTCCGTAATTTATTTGTTTTTGTTCATCATGCTTTGTTTAATTGCTTTGATTAGTTTAAATTTAATTATATGTGAGTAGATTATTTTCTAGAGTTGTAGGGATCCATAAATAATATGAAGGGGTATTTTATTATTGTTGATTGTCAATGCTTGATTAATTTCCTATTGATCGATTTAATGCTATGCAATTATATTAGGCCTGGTTTTATCGTATGAGTTATGTATTGATTTGAGATTCGAAAGATGAGAATTGATGTTTAGGCTTAGTTTCAATAGACAAGTTAATTTATAAATGGTTAAGTCAAGATTCGAGAGATGCGATTTAATAACGGTAGATTAATTCTGTGATTGTAATGCGTAGCGAAAGCCCTTTATGATCTGATTAATTGATGCATTGATGATTGATTATTGTGTTTTACCCTAGAATACTATTTATTGGTGAACCTATACCCTAGGCTTTTATTATCTGATTACTCTATA